ATGATGAAAAAATAGAAAATATCAATAAAACATTGGAAAATAAAAAAGTGTAGGACAGCAACTATATGGAGAGTAGGAATGAGGAAGAGACATAGAAAAATACACTTTGACTGAAGTGCAAAGTGTGGGGAGGGAAATAATATGAGATAAGACTAGAAAAGAAGACTGGTGACAGATTGTGGAGGATGTGGAGAACCTTTGACTGACAAAGAAATCTGACCTTACATGGTAAGTGTGAGGCATGTGTCACCCACTAAATATTTCTGACCTGAGATATAGTAATTATCTGACTATATCTACACATTAAAAAAAAACAAAACAAGACTGTTCTAGTAGCAATACAAAAAATGGATTGAAGGAGAGCAAGAATGGGGAGGAAAAGACCTGTTAAGAAGCAATTATAATCATAGTCCAGGAAGATGGTAGTAAAGGCTTTGGTACTACAGTAGTGGTAGAAAAGGGAGCAGATTCTAACACTAAAATGGAAAAAAATCAGGTAATTGATTTGCTATCAGAGAAAAGGGACTAGGAAGAAATAACCTGAAGGTTTTGAGACTAGGTGATTAAATTTCAGATTAAGTTCAGTAAGTAAATTGGATAAAGCCAGGATTAAAATGGGATATTTTAAGATATCATTTCCATCATTGTTAATCATTTCCAATGTTGTCAATCATTTATCAAGGCTAGATAAAAGTATATTAAAATATTTATTAAACTTAATATGGCTATAAGGCATCAAACTGTAATACTTAGTAAAACAATTTAAGGAAGACTATCTTACTAGATATTTGGGCAATGGAAAAGTACTACTAGAAGGTTAAGTTCAAAGTTAACCTGTTTTATCTCAAGAAGTATAAAAAGAAGTAGAACAATATATGATATGAGACTGGTACAGCAATATAGAAATTCTAGTAGAAATAAAGACAGGAAGAATAGTAGCCCTAAAGATGAGGGAAATTTATTTTTCTTTTAGGTAGTAAAAGATGAGGTTGATAAGACTAGTACTTTCAGTTCTGGGAATAAATTTATATCTGAATTTTAGGTATCCATCCATTTGCAATCTTCAATTTATTAACAAAACAGTAGTATTGTAAAAGACAGCTACCATGTACCTGTAAATTCATTTTGAAATCATGTCTAGACTTTGCAATACTAATTCCTCTCAGTCCTATGGAGGAGCCATATGTCATAGTTCACATAGAAAGATGCTTGTCCCTTCAATGAAAGGGTTATAAAGTTTTCAATCTTAAGTGCAAATCCCTAGCATAGTGCAGAGGAAAGAGTGCTGGATATGTAGTAAGACAACCTGGCTTTGAATTTTGGTACCTGTTAAATTATGACCATTCATAATGTAGCTAAGGGCTCTCTGAATTCCTACATTTGGCAGAAAAAGCTTTTCCAAATGAATGATTATGTGGTAACTCAAATGTATAAACCAGGGAAAAGGCAAAGGAGGAGATCCACATGTAAGACTTGTCCAAAAGAGATTTATTAAAAGATATTCTGTACAGCCACCTAAGGTTTGAGGCAGACAGGAGATAAGAATAAAATACTACAGTCCTGCAAATCTGTGTCAAGATTCAGGTGATGGTATATAGCAGGTGCAAAAATGGAGTCTCAGCAGGTTGTTTTTTGTTTGTTTGTTTTCATAGAAAAAGTTCCATCTCTGCCATGTATTAGAGATGCTTCATGGGTTCCAGGATAGTGAATGATGAGGAGGAGCAAGGTGCTATTTCTTACCTCTGCTTCTAGATCTATACTTTGGGATCTTTGATTGAAGTAATTGGTTGAAAGGGATGAGAATTTGGGATTGAAATGTTTCCTATTTATTCAAGTTTGGTTAATGTGAAGTCACTCCCTAATTGATAAATGAACAGTCAGTTTTCAGATGAAAACTATCTATATCAGCTATCTATAACCATATGAAAAAATGCTTTAAATCACTATTGATTGGAGAAATTCAAATTAAAACGTGAAGTACTACCTCCCACCTATTATATGGCTAATAGGACAGAAAAGGAAAATGACAAATTTTGGAGGGGATGTGGGAAAATTAAGACATTAATGCATTGTTGATGGAATTGTGAACTGATTGAACCATTCTGTAAAGCAATTTGGAACTATAATGAAAAGGCTACAAAACATGCATACCTTTTGACCTAGCAATACCACTACTAGGTCTGTATCCCAAAAAAGATTTAAAAAAAAAAAGAAAAGGACTTGTATGTACAAAAATATTTATAGCAGCTCTTTTCTTGTGGCAAAAAAAATTGTAAAATTGAGGGAATGCCCATCAATTGGCAAGTGACTGCACAAATTGTGGTATATGATTATGATGGAACACTATTGTGATATAAGAAATGATGAGCAGGATGCTCTCAGAAAAACCTGGAAAGACTTATAAAAACTGATGCAAAGTGAAATGAATAGAACCAGGAGAACATTGTAAACAGTAACAGCAGTATTGTATGATGATCAACTATGGATGACTTATCTATTCTCAGCAATACGATGATCCAAGACAACTCTAGAGGACTTATGATGAAAAATGCTATTCATCCCCAAAGAAAGAATTGATGGTATCTGAATACAGAGCTAAGCATGCTTTTTTTAAACTCTATTTTTCTTGAGGTTTTTTTTTTGTCTATGTTTTCTTTTATAATATGACTAATATGGAAATATGTTTTGCATGACTACACATATATAGCCTGTATCAAATTGCTTGCTATCTCAATAAGGGCAATGGGGAGGGAGGAAAGGAGAGAATTTGGAACTCAAAATTTAAAAAATGAATGTTAAAAATTGTTTTTACATGTAATTGGGGAAAAATAAAATACTAAAAAAAAAATTTTTAGAAAACCAAGGGGGATGTGGAAGATTTTATCTAAACTGGAGAGGGAAGAATCCCATGGAGCATGAGTGAAGCTGAGCTCCCCTAGCCACTTCTGGTGATAGCACATAGCTCTGTGCTGAAGGATTTCTGCTTTGGGATGGCAAAGTCATCATTTTATTAGTCCCTATTATATAGGATCTCAGTTGTTTTGGGGTTACTTGGGCCTAGGTGGGTCTTTCCAAGGAATTCTACTTCTTAAATTGCCTGTCATGTGTCAAAATAATGTCACTGGATTTCTCAAGTGAAGATCAAAGAAGGTACTTTCAGCTTTTTCCCAAAAGGATAGGAATTATCAGATTCTATAGGGGAGGGAGAATACATTTCCAACAACCACAATCTTTTACTTATTAATATGGCTATGGATAAATATAGGTGTACATGGGTATATTTTCTCAACGATAATAAATTCATTTATATTCACCAAAGTGAGAAAAGCTGAGACTTGCAGTTTCCAAATTCTAAGAAGCAAACTTTAAATACAGTAAGAAGGATTATAGAAACCACAAAGCATACACTATGAAATGAACTGCCACAGACACAGTGTAAGAGGACCCACAATTCTGGTGTAACCTTGGGTAAGTTAGTCACTCCAGGCCTCAGTTTCCTCTTCTGTGAAATGAGGGGATTGGACTAGGTGACTTCTAAGGTCCTTCTAGCTCTAAATCTATGGTTTTATGCATTCCTTGGGACTAAGGCCACTTTAGCAAAAGGGAAGCAGTTCTTTAGTATATTGGTAGAACAGTTCATGTACTTCCATGAGGATGTAAGCTTATTTTAGCAACAATAATAACTCATACTTTATATAGAACTTTAAGATTTATAAACCATTTCCTTATAACAATCCTTTGGGGTAGTCATTACAGGTATTACTATATTAATTTTAAAGCTGAATAAACTGCCATTCTTTAGGAACTTGACTATGGTTACACAGGTAAGTAAATGGCCAAGCTAGAACTTGAATCCACATCTTTTGACTCCAAATCCAGTGTTCTCTCCATTGTGCCATGCTGAAAAGATAATTTTCTAACATAGCTTATTATTACTTGAATTTGGATTGAATCATATGACACAAAATATGACATACTGCAAAAATATGATAAAGCAGGTCTCATTGATAAATTGAGTACCAGTTCTATCTGCCAACACTAGGATTATAAAAGATTTTCACTTACTTTATACATTCAGTCTTGATGATGAAGTGATAACTTTTGAATTACTGGCCCCCAAATGTCGACATAATTCTTACAGACTGTGGGACATGTTGATTATAGTAGTTGATCTTCCAAATTTGAATTCTATACAGTGGAACACGAGTTATATGTTGCTGTCCATAACCAATCAACTTCTTTAGTGTAGGTATGAGAAAAACTGAGTTAAGAGAGGCTCATAATTTAATATCCTTGGGAATTTCTAAAACCTTTAAAGTTCCTGGGACTACAGTACTACTCTAAACTAGTAAAACCTTTGAAGCCAATCTCCTCCCAAGTGACTCAGACTCTTCAATGTAAATCTGCAAGTCATCAAGCCTTTAGCAAAATGTGGATAATGCTGTTTTGCCATCATAGAAGGTAGATTTTCCCCCAGGAAGGTACTGACAAACCAGTTGCACCACACTGTCCATGGACTACTTCAACTTTCACTCTGACAGTGATGACAATTCTCTTTCCATGTCACAGATATTATTTTTCTAAAATAAGCCACATTCATTCTGCAGTGAAATAAGATTTTAAGCTTTAAAGTTTTTCTTCTGGAAAGATAAAGTTGGGGGGAGGATATGGGAAGCACAAAGTGGCTAGGAAAAAGAACTCACACATTCTGGTAGGAAAGATCTATAAGGTTTATTAGTCTTGATGAACATGTTCCAATGTCCTTTGGAAGAAATATGGTACCTAAACCACTAAATAGAATTTTAGAGAATGTGAGCTCAGTAGCCATTTCCCCACAACTCTCTGTCCAACTCTATAAAGACTGACCTTAAATAAAGAGAGGAAGGAAACATTATAAGAATTTACCACAACAATAAGATACAATATTTGGTCAAAGTACAATTTAAATATTTTTTGCTTTTTAAAAAAAACATATTCCTTTTTCAAAGTAGTTGAAACTTCTAATAGCTTTTCAGATTTTCAAATTTATTACTCTTTCCAGACAACATCCTACTGGCTTCAATAGGATCAGCAAGCTTACATGAAAGCACATCAGTTCTCAGTCCACCTCTTGCCTTGGGTGATAACACAAACTGTATGGGAGAAAAGAAAAAAAAAACTTTATTCCCTTGTATTTGAAAAACTGGATGTTAAATTTTGTAAGCATTAACATACATTTTCACCACAATGCAAGCATAGATCCAATAGACATTAGGATCCCACTATTAAATCTAAAACAACAGAATTATACATAGCCACTGATAAACTAAACACCTATAATTATAATGAATGATTTTGACCCCGGAAAAGAGATGAGGAAATGTACCTCTCCCCTTAAATTGAAGATTTAGGGAACTTTATATGGAATGTTGTGTATATTGTCATTTGGAGTTGAGGTGCAGATTCTGTTTAATTATTTCTTTCCTTTCCTTACAAGAGTAATCTCAATGAGTGGGAGGTGGGGGTCAGGGTCAGGGAAAAGTGAAAAAAACTGGTATAAAAACAATAAAATATGAATTAGATCAATACTTAGTTTCATACAAAAGACACACCTGTTACTAGCATGTGTTTTGAAACTATTTATATTTACATCCCTTTTAAAGTACCTCAGAGAGAAACCATTCAAATCAAGCACTGTGCTAGATTCTGGGTATACAAACACGAAATTAAAAATCGTCCTTTCCAAAAAGGAGTTTACATTCCAGTGGCGAGATACAACATTTACATAGAAAAGTAAATACAATGAATTTAGGTGGAAAAGACGTCCAAGAACTAGGGAGATCAGGAAAGCTTTACTGAAGGGTGTGGAGTCCGAGAAGAAGCTTGGAGGAAGCTAAGGATTCTAAGAGGTGGAAGTGAGAAGGGACTGCCTTCCAGGTTTAGGAGACCTGCCCAAGTAAGGACTCAGAGGTAAGATATAGAATGAAAAATGCAGGAAACAGTAAGTAGACCAGTTTGGTGAGAGAAGAGGAGTAATATGAAATAATTCTAGAAAGACAGACTGGAGCCATGCTATGAAAGGCTTTAAATGCCAAGCTGAGGAGTTTGTACTTTGTCCTAGAGGCAATAGGAAGTTGCTGAAGCTTTTCAAGCAGGGAAATGACGTGTTCAGACCTGTGCTTTAGCAAGATTATTTTGGCAGCTTTGTGGAGGATGGATTGTAAAGGAGAGAAACAGGAAGCAGGGAGACAAATTGGGAGGCTATTGCTATGGTCCATTTAAGAGGTGATGAAGGCCTGAACTAGACTGCTGGTTGCATGAGTAGAGAAATGAGGATGGATGCAAAAGACATTGTAGAGAGAATTGATAAGACTTGGCAACTGATTGGATATGGTAACGAGAAAAAGTGAAGAGCTGAAGATGACTCTAGAATTGTGAAACTGAGGATGGTGGTTCTCTCAACAGAAACTGGGAAATTTGGAGGAGGGGAGGGTTTAGGCAAGAAAATAATGTTACATTTTAAACATGGTGAGTTTGAGATGCTTTTGAGAGAGCCAGGTGGAAATGTTAACTAGGCAGTTGATGATGTGGTATAGAAGCTCAAGAGAAAGATTAGTACACAATCGAGGGTTGTTTAAGGACAGGAAATACCCAAAAAAGGGCAGCAGGGAAGTAGCTGGGAAAGATTGAAGATGTGTGCCTGTGTGTGTGTGTGTGTGTGTGTATAAGAGACAGAGAGACAGACAGACAGAGAAACAGGGAGAGAGAATATCTATCAAGGAGACAAGTTCCTACAGTCAGTCAATAAACATTTATTAAGCACCTACTATTTGCCAAGCTGAAATGCTCTATTCAAAATTGTTTTTGGGGGAGAGTGCTTTGGGAATTGTCTTACTTTTGAAATAGGAACTATTTAGTTGAATTCAACATTTATTAACCTCTATATGAAGAACTCTATTAGAAATACAAAAACAAAAATGCCTCAAGGAACTTATATCAGTATTCTTTTTTTAAAGTGTATGATAGCAAGAGAAAATATACTGATTGTTGTTTTAAGATGGGCTTATCTTGCATTTATCAGTTCTTTCTCTATTTGTGTATAACACATATTTGAAACAGCATGGGTTTTCTCCTCTGCAATTTCTGGGATCTTCTGGAAATCAGACTACAACAGAAAATGCAAGGCTGGGAATTGAATTGCCTAGTACTTTTAATATAAAGGCAGCTGCTTAAGATCATTTAATGTCATGCTACTGTGGGACATTTAAAACAAAAGTGACCCTCTATACCTTATGGGAAACACACTATAAACACATCGGAGAAAGATGCAGTTTATAATGTGAACTTACTAGATGGTTACTTGGTTGGTTTGATAGGGAACCCCTGGGCTCAAGGGTAACATGAGACGACTAAGAATTCATTAACAATACACCAATGACTCAAGGGAGGAGCTAGGACCTAGCAATGTTCCCTAGGGCAGCTGGCTGTGGTGTCTGATGACAGATTCCCTAAATGACAGCTAGGTGCTAAAAAAAATGTTTTTATAAGAGATAGAGGTGAAGGATTTTAGCTTGGCTGATTCCAACATGCATCTGTTAATTATACTAAGGGTTAAGATACTTGGCAACATAGTTTTGTTGTTGCTGTTGTTGTTGATCTATTTATTTTCTTTAGTTTAGTGGAAAATATTTATCCTTCCATTTGTCTTCCAGCACATGCATAGTTCTGTACACCTGGGCATCAGGCATCATTAAAATAATCAATTCCCTGATTTATTGTATCCACATATAACAATTATACAAAGTCAGTTCCTTCAAGAGGGATGCACTTGTGTCTTACTAGAACTTGTTTGGATTTATAACATAAAATATTGCCACAAAATTCACCAACTTTTAAATAAATTTTGCTTCTTTCCAAGAGAAATTGCCACTTTATTGTTGTTTTCTGTTCTTCTGTTAGCGCAAGAAATTCATGTACCTAATTTAAAAAAAAAGATCAAACATATAATAGAAGCTATAACATGAGGATAATATGAAACTTAAGATTATTAACTGAAAATGGAATTTTATTTGCACTGATCTTTGGCCAGTTCTTCTGATTAAGAGTGGTAAGTAAAGGGAGGTAAAGAAGGTAATGAACCTGAACAGGGAGTGACTCACTGGCAGCCAATCAGGATGCTCAATATGAAAATGCTCCCCCTTAATACGGAAGAAACAACATTTGAAACAAAAATGTGTTTAAAAATATCATGGGAAATTTTTACATTAAGAAATTAATACTCATGCCCAAGTGCACTAGTTAATTATATCCAAATATTTGCTAGTTATGTTATATAAGGTTCCACATAGGAAACTCATAGTTATCTTTTTCTTTTCTTTTCTTTTTGGTTAGGCAATGGGGTTAAGTGACTTGCTTACACAAAGCTAGTGAGTGTTATGTGTCTGAGGCCGGATTTGAACTCAGGTCCTCCTGAATCCAGGGCCAGTGGTCTATCCACTGCACCATCTAGCTACCCCTATAGTTATCTTTTTCAAGAAACTTAATATCAGTACTTCACACTACCTTGTGATTAGTGGAATTCACCCATGCTCATAATTTACCTACTTTGAGAATTATGTTTAAGCATAATTTTCTTTGACCAAAGACCTCGGTCACTGTGTTCAGTGTGATTCTAATATATGTTTGTTGGTGGCCCAGTGTGACTTTAAAAAGAGTTTGTTTTAAATAGGCCATCCTATGCATGAATGTATTTGTCTTATGTGTTAAAATAACCGGATTGATACCTTTAGCCCCGTTGGAAGAACATAGAGAACAATTGTTCTTAAAATTAAGGACTATGGGTCAGTGTGGGAATATTTATAAACTCTTTTTATATTTACCGTGAAGCCTAGAGTTTCCTCAGCAACAGTTCCTGTAAGGTTACAGGAATGAAGAGTGCCGGTGTGATCAGTGAGATCAATCAGCAAATCAAAGCTGAGAAACACAGATTTATGTCCCGAAAAATCTTTGTTGCAGAATGAAGATGTACAAGTGCTAGATGCTTCACTTACAAAATAACCACAGCCTGAACTGTAAGAGATAGAAAAATGGAAATAATGAAATGTGCATTACAATGCTGCAAACCCCTGATGATCAAAGCTGACTAGAATGTTTGATTGTTGACAATGTTTTTAACTTGCTCTGAATATTTTTCCAATATGGTCTTTTAGGGAAAAAAACACAGAGTAGAAGTGAGAAGAAGAGGAATAAAGAAAGAAAAGAGGAGGCCAAATAAAGATGGGATCCGCTATCTCCAGCTTTTAGGAGCCTACTAAACATTTATAAACTATAAATTATCATATAAATTTGAGTTCTTCTTTATATTAACTAAGATGTGGACAAATTCTTTCCTTCTACCACTCCAATTTAAGAGATGTTAAGGGAAGTTTTATTAGACAAGCCAATCTATGGCTAGACTTTGGTAGAATAAGGATAAGAAATCAATAATATTGGTTCTTTTGTATTTGTTTTCAGGAGAGACAGAGGAGCCCTAGGAGCCCCTAGAAGCTAAGGGAGAGAGTCTAGGACAACTAAAGGCAACATTCCTTTCCATTAAGGATTTTTTTTTCCTACTTGAGACCAAAAAAAAAAAAGTTTAAAGACAAATAAAAGCAGCTTTAGTGAATTTTTCCATTCCTCATGTTCCCACCCTTAAGTGGCATAGGCATGAGAGCAAAAGAAAAATTAATGCGAAGTAGTGGGGCATAGTAAGAACTGTCCTCAGAAATCAGAAAGACCTGACCCCATCTCTGACACAAACTGGATGGATGACCATAGGTAAGTCATTTTATCTCTCAATGGCCCAGACAAATCTAACACTATAAGCTGCTGATTTGCATAGGTGAAGAGCATTTCCATACCAGGAAATTTCCTTCCCCAATGAAATCAGAGGTCCAAAATAAATCATAACCATAACCACAGGAAAGTGCTTTGTAAACTATAAATCATGATGCACATTAGCTATCATTATTATTATTACATTTCTATAGGATTTTACAATTTTTAAAGTGTTTTGGCATTCATAATTTCATGTGACCTTTACTACAATCCTGTGAGATAGAAGGGGCAGTTAATAACAAATAAGAAGAAATGGATGAGAAAACAACCCAAGAGAGACAAATGACTTGCCCAACATCATAGCTTAAGTAGAAGAGGTGAGACTTTTCCCCCATGGATACTAAATATAATGCCAGACTTGGAGTTAGGAAAGATTTGAGTTCAAATTTTGTTGCTGTCATTCCCTGTGTGACCTAACAAAAGTAATCTAATCTCTCTGCACTTCATCTTGTTGATTAATAGTTGGCATTCACAAGTGAAGGTTAAGGACAGGAAATACCCAAAAAAGGGCAGTAGGGAAACAGCTGGAAAGATTGAAGATAAAAGCATGTACCTATGTGCATGTGTGTATGAGAGAGAGAGAATAAGAATATCTATCAAGGGGACAAAATAACCTGGCTACTTACCATCTGTTTCGTGCTATTTTCACAGCTTCATTATCAATGTTCAATGTAGAAATGTGAGCGTAAAGGATGCCGTAGAAGGGGTAAGTTTTTCCCTTATTCTTCAAGGCTATTGCCTTTAATTGTTCTACTGTATACACATCAACTATTGTCTGTACTAAAAGTTAAAAGATATGTGTCACTTCATCATTTCTAACCACAACATTAAAAATAAAATAAAATTTAACATATGTAAAATAAAAAAGCAAACTAATATTAACATTTATTAATTGTATTGAAATTTATTATATTTTTAATTCAAAATATTTCACTATATTTTTGCATACGCTGCTCAATAAGAATGCAATAAGGTATGTTCATATGGATGATCCAAGTACTATTTTATAAATTACTGCTCCCTAAAACATTCACAATTTTGTTGTTACTTTCAGCATATGAGATTTTTATGTATCACTTAACATAAACTATATGCTAGTATGACAAATGATCACTTATTTAATGTATTTGAATATTGATTTGAGTGTGCAATTCTAAGACCAACTACATGATTGCTTTCAAGCACATTGTAATATTACTTTAAAAAATGTCTCTTAAAGTCCATTTTTTCCCACTTGTCTTCCTCTTTATTGCTAAGAAGAAATTAGAAATGGTACTGGAGAGAAACAAAAGTTTTTATAAGAATAGATACTAATGCTATGAATGTAATTAGTTTGTCAACTGTGGGAAAAAATATTATTGAGGAAAGCTTGACAGAAGAATAGGAAATGGGATCTTGGGTTTAGGAAAGAAAATTATAGGATAAGAAGTTAGAACAACAGGGATAGTGATAGAGATGGGCAAAAACAGCCTGGTATAAAACAGTCATGTAATAGTATACATGAGAGATAGAACCAGACTGAAGCAAAAATTGACAAAGAAAGAGAAAAAGAGGAAAATTTAATGTGGAAAAATACACCAGTCAAGCTTTCTTTTTGTAACTTTTGGAATAATTTTGGTAGTGTAAAAAAGTGTTTCCATGCAATAGGACTTTGGGTTGGATTTTGGCTGTCCTTACAGAATCAAGTATAGAAACAAAAGTCAACAGAAAGTCC